CCAACATCTCCACTGCATTTAGATGAGACACCAATTGTCCATTAGAGGTGAGCGATAATGTGATTTTTTTTAGTATGATGCGATACCAAGTAAATACAGGACCAGGATCCCCGATACCGATACTTTTTACTTAAGCTTCATGTATCATCCAACTTCTGACCTTACGCTTTTTAATTTGAATTATTTTCTCCAAATCAAGAAGAAAAACTTGGACTAAGTCCATAAATGTCTACAAATTATGACAGTAACAGTAGAAAAGCAGAACAAATATGGGAGCATTTTTCATCAACAAATAAAACGTGCAGTAAATCAGAATCATATCTGAGCTGCAGTTGAGAAACAAGCATGGAAAAATAAAATAAAATTTCAAGAGGAAGTCTGAAACTAAAATATCGATCTGACTATGCTAGTACCAATCCAGTATTGATACAGTCTTGGTATCGATATCATTGATATTTTGAGTTGATTAGTGAGATGCGATCAAATATAGCAGTACTAAAGTTACTAGTCTTTAGTAACCATGGATAAATGCTCCACCATCATTTATTTATTAATAAAGGTTTGATCAAATCAACAGGGTGGCTCGGTTTCTAAGTGAACTATTTCTATGAGTTAACACATTTCCCACTAATTTGCTTCAGCTGAACATGCAGAAACCACAGGAAAACAATCTCAGTCGCTCCGTTCGACATTCCTTTTGCTCACTTCGACGTCTGTCGTGGTTTAAAGCAATTAAACAGAACAAACTAAATATGCTACCAAGCTGGTGGACTGTTGTCCTTTCTGAGTTTTTCTTTTTCCAATTATCCTCCAAATCATAATGTGACAAGCAACTTATGTTTCAGACGTTGAAACAGCATGTTGAAAACTATAAAATGTTTCAAGAGTCAAAGTTAACGTGGAAATATAATGCGGGTTGTGAAAAAGAAACAAAAAAACAAAAAACAGAGGACAGTCAGAGTTCAGCACAAGGCACCACATCAGTTTGAGGCCACCCTGCAAAGCTTTGTGCTAATGTGACTCCGCTGTGACTCGCTGCCCTTGCCACGACACCTTCAGTGGACAAAAACAGTTTCAGGCCACCGCGGCTTTTGTTCTCCGAACCGGCGTATTTGTTTTTCCTCTCTGATAACAAGCAACTGTTTCTCCTCCTTGGTGTTCAGGAGAGGCTGATGCATTTCCTCCTGCCGCGGCCGGTGAGACGGAAACAGTCGTGCATGACTGGCACTCGTCATTCTCACCCTGCAATCTGTTCCATTCGTGTTACTGCATGGAAGCTCCTGGTCAGCAGAGCTGATTCACTCAGTGTGTGTGTAAACTTTTTACAAAGATAAAGTGGGCTGAAACTAAATAATGAAATGATCTGAATATATCTAAGACTTCTTGCGTGTTTAAGTTCAGATTTTAACATATGAATGTTTGTGTTTGTTTACGCTTGTGGCTTCGACGGCGTGCGTCTCGGTGTGTTGCTGGAGAGAGGTCTGTTCCTGTGTGTGTGTGTGTGTGTGTGTGTGTGTGTGTGTGTGTGTGTGGGTTTGCCGCAGACATCTCTCATCCATTAGGCTTAATGCTACATGACAGTTCTGGATCACACTGCTAGCTATTCAAGGCCACTCTCCTCACCACAAACATACAAGCATGCACGCGAGTAGCAACCTATGCTTCTTTAGTCCTAGCTTACGAGAAAGAAAAGCCTGGAAAAGCGGCTTTTCTTTCTGAGGGCTAAAAATAACAAACAAACATTTTTGTGTTTCAATGCAACAACACCAGCTGTGGCAGAGGGCGCTCCGTGAGCATTTGACTCAGTTTCACTGTCGGGTTCCTTGGGGGACTCTGTGTACTATGAAGCAAACGGCTGTGCATCAGGTCACAGTTGAGTGGCTTTCTTCTAAAAAGATTTCTTTGAACTTGCAGCTGTTTTCTGGTTTCCTTCACTGATTGTATTAATGAGCAGTCTGGGGGGTCGTGGAAAGAACACGACTTCTGTCGAGGTGTTTTCTAACTCAACGGGAGCCGAGTTTACGTCTGATATTGCTCTTACAACTGGGAGCAGGTGATTAGCATTTCAAAAGCTTGAGTGATACCTGAACTACGACCCCAAACCCAACAGGAGAGAGAGAAGGACGGAGTTCAAACCATGCTTTTCTCTTTGAGTGGTTTTAAAACCATATGCTCAAACAGAGATTTAAAGCAAGGTGGCAATAGCAAATGAGGTGGATTAGCAATGTTTGCCAAAAGCTGATGGTGTGATGGAGGACATGTTACTGTTACTGCCTGAAAACGAGCCGTTTGCAGGTCGTGACAGTCATGAGACCACCAATCAGCAACAGTCTTCAGTCAGAGATCTCTTTAGATTTGTTAAAAGACTGAATGACTGTGCACAACCACTCTTTCAAGATACTTGGATGAGCAGCATTTTGGGATGAATAAAGTATTTGTTTTTGTTTTTTATTTTAATTGAATTAAATTAACTTAAATTAAATATATGAGTTTTCTCCAGATTCTCCAGCTTCTTCCAAAAGCCAAAAAACATTCAAGATAGTTAATAAACGGGTCACTTTGTTGTCCAGGCGTGAGAGTGCGTGGACAGCTGGGTCCTGTTTGTCTCTGTAATGAAACAACAGCCTGTCCAGGAGAAAAGCCAAGGAAACCTTCATCCCATTTTAAGGCCTGCTGGCTCATTTGCTGTTGAGTTAGTAAATAATAAGGAATTATTTGCTTAATGAAGAGACCAAAGGGTGCATTCAAAGGGTTTCTCTCATTTAAGACATTTAAAGACTATTACGTATGACATTACAACCTGTCACAAAAGATGTACAAAAGAAAATAGCATATTTTATATGTGGTGCCAAGTCTTTTTGTTCAGAAAATCTGCATGGCAAAAGGAGTGAGCCGCTGGCAAAGACACCCTTGGTTCAATCAACTAGCGAAAATAGAGAAAAGCCGGCAAGCTAGCAAAGTTTATTAGCAGCTAGTTAGCGTAGCCTCAACCGCCTCAAGTCACAGAATGTAATAAAGATTTCTGCGTGTAACTCAAATGTTTGGCTGACAGAAAGTCCCACTACAAAATTTAAGACCTGTGATTGAGGCATTCAAGGCCATCGTACATATTTCCTAGGGAATTTCAGGGCTTAATTTTATATACGTGAATTTAAGACTTTACATTTAAGATGCGCGGACGTCCTGCTTGAGCTGACGTCAGTGAAACCAAAACAAGATCCGTATCCTTCTTGAACACCCAGAAAGAGTTCAGTCAGTTAGATAGCGAACTGCTGGCTCAACAGAAGGCGATGCCAGCCATTTTCTCCACGCCTGCTTGAAATGACTCAGAATCTTCAGCTTAGTCATTAATGCTTGCATATCAGGACATTATGTATTCCCAGATTCAGATTGACTATGACTAGATTTGTGCCATCTCATTCTGGCACCAAGATTGTTGTTTCAGCCCACATCTTCGTGAGCAAGTAGGTGGATACTCATTCCTCCTGATGCCATACACCACGGAGAGAAACAACTAGAGCAGAGGAGAAATGATCCATGTAGGACAGAGACATATCCTCAAACACCATTGAGGAAAAAAAAAAAAAAAAAAAAAGAAAAGCATACTAAGCCACCAGCAGGCAACAATTGCTCGTTTCAATCCTGGCTGCCTTTGAGTCTTCCTTTCATTGTCTGATTACGTCTGTCAGCGTTGGCTCTTTTTCTCGACATCATGTCTTCTTCTTCTGCGTTGGTGACTCCTCTCACTTCTTTTCCCATCTCTTCCCTCTGTGTGTCAGAGTCACTGAGGTGGAAGTTCACACGAATGGCTATATAGGTCAGTGTATGTGCAGTGAAAGTCTTCTGTCTGAACATGCGCGAGAGCGTCTGCAAGCGGCGGGAACAACCACTGCATTCTGTCATTCGTACGCCGACATCGAGAGCGCCACGGCATCACATGACTCCCTCACCAACGCAGCTGGGGTCATGTGAACAGGAGAAGCAATGGAACAAACACATTTGTATGTAGCAGGTCATTTATATGTCCTGGATTACAAAAGTTACTTTACAGTTGTAGCAATAAAACAAAACAAAACAAAAAAAATAAACAGGAAACAATGAAAATCCTAACAAAAAATAATTATTGTTCTCGTGAAGTAGTTCTCGTATTTTCCATTGTGCAAGTCACTTCGGAGAATAAATTGAACTGCTCCGAATATGTGTGTTTTTTCAGGTTGTTCTGTATTCTGTGCATGTGTGCAGATACGCATGCGCAATCTGGAACGATGTGTGGCTATAAACGCCGCTGTCATTATGGATATTTACAGGCCTTAGAAATAAAATGAGCACTCTGGAGAGGCAGACTGCTCTGAGTGCCTGCTGTGCTACTCCGGCCGGTGCATTAGCATCAGCCCGGGTCGGACCATCGCAGCTGGAAATGACCCGCCGATATGACAGAGAAAGTTTTAGAAAGAATCAATAACCCAGCCTCGCATATATGAGAGGCTGAAAACAAACTCAAGCTTCAGAAAAGTTAGCAAGATATTTTTATTTTATTTTTTTTATATTAGCAGAATATTGCCAAAGTTTTGCACAAATTTGCCCATTTTTGAAAAAGGCCTTATTCAAAAGCAAGACATGCTAGTATTCCGGTTAAAAGAAGAGAAACATTAACACAAATAACATCTGGTTTTAAGGTAAATGCATTTGACTAATGATACATAAAAATGTCACAAACTTAAATGCTTACAGGGCAACAAAAGAAACCCAGCAGCGACGAAGAGACCCCGTGAGTCGAGTTTGGCTTTGACAGCCGACTCACTCGTCTGTTTGACTCAAACGCTCGTGTCACTTCAGAATGCTGGTGTGTGTGATTTTGTGTGTGTGCCTCCCTGTCCAAAGGCTGTAGCCTTAATCTGGAGCAGGAGGCTGACAAGACTCAGACGGAGTGACAGACGTGACCTAATGCGTCAAAACACACGCACACACACACACACACACACACACTGAGCCCGACTCACCTCTGGAGCGATGTAGTCCGGAGTGCCGCAGAAGGTTCGTGTGAACACGCCCTCTACCATGTTCTCTTTACACATGCCAAAGTCGGCGATCTTAATGTGTCCCTCTGAGTCCAGCATTACGTTGTCCAACTTCAGATCCCTGAGGTTGGAAAGGATTATTCATGGATCACGTAAAGGGGTGCAGGGTGTGCTTTTTCTTTTTCATTGTCTTTTGCCAGAACAGAAAGGTTGCATCTTGCTGACAGACTGATTCACGCTTTTGGTGTTTCGGACTAACTGCAGCAACATTTCGCCAATAATGTCTGATGAAGTCTTCAAAAAGCAAATTTAGTTTATGGTAAAGGCATATTGGGAAAAGAGAAAACAATATTAAAGACAACATGATGTCACACTGTTTCTCATCCTTCTATGTAAGAAAGAACAACATGTTAACCTGCATCTCAAAATGGTAAAATGAAGGCCATTTATTGAAACATCAAGTCCTGTCCACCTACTATATGAAGTGTACATAGAATGAAATATGAAGGTCTGTTTTGTTTTCCATACAGAATCATTGAGGGTGAACATTTAATGCTCTATAAACCATCTAAGAGCTCCCAGAAGGTAAATTAATAAAAATATAGATCAGACAGCTCCCCTATTGGAGCCCCTTCAAGCATTCATAATCCTGAGCTGAGTGAATCTTCATTAGTGCAGACAGAGAGACACCATGTCTTAAATATGCTGTCTCAGAACTGTGACAAACATTCACCAGATGATTTTTTTAACACGTCCAAAAATTGTGTCTGCGCTTTTAGCTAGAGGTTAAACTGTCTGTGCTTTCCAATCGGATACAAGAAAACGTGCAGCATTGTGTATTTGTTTTACTGCTGCATGAGAATTCACACTTCATGTGCTGCTTCTCCTGAGTTACATGAGAAACTGGGTTTAGTATTTGTCTGACTACATTGTTGGTGGATTCAGAACTTCTTTTTATTCTGTTTTTATCAGTGTTTTTACCATGGAGGCCAAAAAGAACCAAGAAGTTCATAAATTTATAAAAAAAAAAAATTAAAACAACTGTTAATTGAATTTAACATATTTCACAGACCTGTAAATAACTCCTTGAAGGTGCAGGAAAAATAGTCCCACTGCAATCTCTGCTGCATAGAATCTGAAATGAGATACATTTACAGAATTTGCAAAGACATGAACAGCGCGCTTCCACCAGCAGGACAGACCGTTTAAAATAGTCTGAAATCTCCTGAAAAGCTGATGTATCTTACACTGCTTGGGGTTCCTTGAACTTGCCCACTTGCTGGATATGGTACATGAGATCTCCACCGTTCACATACTCCATGACGAAATACAGCCGGTCCTACAGCGAGACGAGATAAAACGAAGAAGATGAGATAAATTAATTAGAAGCTGCACAATAAGTGTCGTGTTAAAAGCAGCACTAATCAAGTTCAAAACAGAAAGATGCAGTTCGGGTTTTAAAAGCTGTGAGATGTTCCACACCGCTGCGACAAGGTGACCCGAACGGCACACGACAAACGGCTTTGTGAAGGAAGAAAATACCCCACGCAGCCTTCTGCCAGAAAATGTTCTCTTTATTTGAAACCGCTGGTGTCTTATTGCCTGTGACAAGTTCAGCCTGACCCCAGTGTGCCACACTTTTGATGGTCCCTAAATAAAACAAAAACAAATGGAGCTGTTCCACACAGCGACAGAGACATGCCGACAACAAACTGGGCTTTCCGCCCGGCTTGGCTTCACTGACGGCTCAGAAATGAAAGGGCCTTGAGTCATATTCAGGCCACATCTTCACTGAGTCCTCGCACATCAGAAATTCAATTTTTCTCTCTGGGTAATGGGTCACAAAAACTGAACGTTCTCGTCGCAGACGATCACATGCTGCCTCAACTTCACTGCTATTATTTTTTTGAAACGAAGGGAAAAGACTTGTTAGGGTCAAAGATTTGATACAAATGTGCATTTGTAGAAGTTTGCACATGCATACAAATGCTCTGATTCTTCAACCTACAAGTTAGAGCTTGTTTATTTTTACTGTCTGGTTCTTTTAATTGAACCTGTCACACATACCCTCTAAAACCTTTTTTTTTTTCTCCCCCGACTAAGTTATTTAGCTAAAAGCCCCGTTCTAAATTAATTTGACCTGACCTGGGTGGAGGCGTATTGTTTGGATGCGCGTCCAGGGGCGATTTACGTACCACAGTCTGGAAGCACGAGTGGAGCTGCGTGAGGAAGGGCGGCTTGTCCTGCTGGGCCAGGACTCTCTTCTCCACCATCGTACACTCCACATCGTCGTCCTGGATCACCACATCCTTCTTTAGGATCTTAATGGCGTAAAGCTCTTCCGTGGTCTTCATCTCTGCTAGCATAACCTTCGGAGAAGCAGAATCGGAACGAATGATTGGCAAACCCTCTGTTACTATAAAGTCCAAAGTTTGTTTTCTCCCCCACTATTTTTGAGCTGAGGCATACTTCTCACCTTTCCAAAGCTGCCTTTTCCCAGCACCGCCAGAAAGCTAAAGTCACTTAGCTTGACCTGGTCCAGGCTGTTGGAAGGGTAGCTGCTGGGGCGGCCGTCGTCTGTCTCTGAGATCATCTTCTTTCCCGGGCCTAACTTGGCTTCCTGCACCCGGGACACAGAACACAAAGTGTCTGACAACCGAACGTTTTGCAAAACGTAACAACTACAGGGTTTGAAGGAGCCACTTCCTGTCATAAATACAACAAAACTTCAAGAATATCACTTATTTTCATTTGTTGTCATGAAAATAAAGCTGATATTTGGTTTCTCTGTGTCTGTCCCTTCATTCACACCACAGTTCTGGTCTACAAGTTATACTCAAGCATGGATAATTCTTTAATTTGAGGCTTTGCATGATTTCCAAACCATTTATGTTTTACAGGGCAGCATGGTTCTGCTTAACTTCATGCATATCACACTGGCTGATGCGAGACTGATCTATCCTTTCTAAAACCAGTTGTGTTTGAGCTCATTTTCCACCAATTGTGTCCAAGTTTTAACTACTGGAGCCAGGCCTGCACCCTCAGATGAAGAAGTATTTTGTCCAGATGTTGAGGAACAACCCAAGAACCCAAAAAGGCACAAGCCTGTCCTGCGATGTGCAGAAAACTCCTATAACGCTGGTGTCTCTGGTGTTGTAGAAGACGGTTTTATTGGTGTTCATGTGGAGGATTTTGTGTGTTTAACGTTGACACTGACATCATCAACCTGCACTGTCTAACAAGAAAGAAATGCCTGATTTATGTCAGTTTGTTTAAACTTGACTGAAATTTGCTGCTACCCACTTGATCAAGGCAAATTCCTTCAGGAGATTTTTTTTTTTTTATCCAGTGAGACCAAGATGTAGCATTTTGGCAATAGTGGAACCAAAAATGTTTGGAGGGATAAAAATGAGACATTCAAATGGTGCTGGAATAATTCTTCCACTTCTAATCAACAGGTAGATGATTGAAACTTGGACACAATAGGGTTTTCCAAGGGAACTGATGATCCCAAATCAATAAAACTGGATTTGAAATGGATAGGCAGGCCAACACCAAGCCTCCAGAGCGGCCTTGTGATAGTCCTGACCGCATCGTTCTTGAAAACATATCGACTAAGTTGGGTCAATACCTAAAAACCAGCCAATTCAAATCAGGTCTTTCGATTCCAAGAGGAGTAACTCTACTCAGTCATGGCTTCCTTGGCTATAAGGAGAGTGTGACTGAGGTCCAACTTCATGTATATATTTGAATCGGTATCTATAATTTTGTCCCTGTGTAGAATTGAGACAAAAAATTCACAATCAAATTGAAGTTGTATAGTGAATAATCGTTCCACCCTGGATACAAAAGTGCATTAGAAGCATCTTGTTAACATTTGATTGATGCCGCTGATGGGTGTATGCAAACTTTTGACCAGAACTGTGCCTATCTATTCAGTTACCACCACAAACTACTGGATGATCAGCGGATCTCAAAATGAAAGGTATGACATGACTCACTGATGCCACTGGTACTATGGAGCTGATGTGCTGCATGATTAAATCATAACCGATCTGAATACACAGCTTAGCCTTTATTGGGTCAGTTTGAAAAAAAAAAAAAAAAAAAAAAAAAAGGTACACTACATGTGCTTGTGAAGAAAAAAGATAATGACACAGCACATCAAAAATAATGCAATAAATAGATAAATGAAGACCAAACACAGCACTAGACAGGACTGAATCATGGTAGAATAAATTTTTTTATTATTATTACTGTAATTACAAAACAACTTTTATGCTATTTTGTGTTAATTTTAAGTTTCATGAACCACTTTAATGGTCTAAATCCTGTAGTTCAGACAATTTAAAACATCTTTTATGCACAGCACTCCTTGTTTTCTGAGAGTGAACATCATAATGGTGCTAAATCCTCCAAACCTTTTAAGCAGTGCTTCTCCTTCTAGGATAGAATAATTGTTTCAACATGCTTTTACAAAGAGGAAACATGGGTAGAATAACAACACAAGATACTAAACTGACTGTTGACTAACACCAGGAGACAGTCAATCACTCCTGCATTTGACACAGTCAATACTCCAGTGAAGGGAGTATTAGAGTTGATTTTACTCTTTTAATATTTGTGTTTAATGTTAATGGCATTATGTGATCTCGTACAAACGTATCACCCAGTCAGAGCGCTTTGGTCTGCCAACCAACATCTTCTACAAGTCCCCCGAGTCCAAACCGTGAGGTGACCATATCTAGAATGATCAGTATTTTCTGAATTGTGGACCATCGACGATCTGATTTTGTGGAGAGCTAAACTTAAAATGCATTTGTTTAGAGCTGCTTTTAGCAAGTAGTAGCCCTGTGACAGGTTGGGTTTTTGGCAAAGTAGTGGCTGTTATAAAGTACTATCCAAATAAGATTTGCTTGGTTGGTTAACAGATTGCCTTCCAGAAATGTGAAGCAAGTTATTAATATTCTTTAGGGTAATAGGGTATCTGAAAGAGTCATGAAATGAATTGATCAGTCTTAAACTTAACTCATGCAACCTTATGTTTGTCACTCAACTACAAATGAAGGATTGTTAAACATTCATTTAAAATCTTGTGATAAAATAAGCTTAAATCTGACTAAAGCCTGAAATTCACCTAACCTTCTGCAGGAAAGCTTTACTTTGCCAGATCAGATCAGGGGTTTAGGCCACAATGACCAAAAGAAATGTCCTAAAGAGGATAAGTGATGCATTCAGGCCAGACAAAACAGTGCCAGTAAGTAATCATGATAAATGGAGCATCATCTGAGGTGGTTATGTTTGCCATTGCTGGTAGATTGCACATAAGATGGGCGCTCTAACGGAGATGAAGTACTGTCCCAAAACTGTTTCATCAAAACTAACCATCATCTAAACACCTGAAAGTTAAGACGTCCTACCAAACCGATCAAAACTTTTGATGCAGAGCTTCCACTAAGCCACACATAAGAGCTCTTGTCTTTAAAATATGCATTTGCACAGTGAACTTTAAATTAAGTTATTCATTACAAACAGGTGTGTTTCTAAAGCTACATAAAGAAAAGTTAAATCACAAAGATGACAGTGCAAAGAGATTAAGACTTATCTTCATCTCTTTACACTCTAATACTAATACTTTAAAACTGCAAGAGTGGTTTCTCTCCACAGTAAGAGAAACATCTCTGTCAGGTTTTAATAAGTAGTAAAGGATGCCACACTGTGGTTGCCACACTGCAGTGCAACCTCAAAGCTCGACCTGCAGAAAAGGATCATCTGTGCGTTTCCTACATGCCGTGTCATGCTCAGTCGAGACAAAATGCTCCAGAGAATCAACTCATTCGGCGATTTGAACTCCAGACAAAAGAAGACACATTCTGTTCTGCTTTCATCACAAGAGCAACATTCAACATAATCCATCTTATAATCTCAGCCAATCAGTGCACAGAGAAAATTCATGCTCTAGTCGATGACATGATACAACACAGTTAAGTCAGAATATCTAAGAGCCAGGTTGTATCTTTAGCGTTTGCAGGGAAGTGAAGCGTTTCAAGCAGTCAAGGTTTCCGGCGGCATCTTTGAAAAGTGTTCACATAAAATTCATTCTGCCCTTCTTGTCTCTATATTCTATCTACACAGACAGAGGAATGCATTGGGGGCAGAGGGTGAGCATTACATCATCCAGAAAGGCCAAAACACAAGACCATATTAAACAAACATCACCTCTTTATATCTGTACCAAAGTCGGATTTATGTCGTGCCGACACATGAAGGTTTTAGTCTGGTTATTAGTGGCCGCCGTGGTCTACAAAGCAGAGCAACCGCACACAGCAAACCTGTGAGTGTTTAGACAATCAGAAACAAGCCTGGCTAGGGCAGGTGCTCAGCTGCCTTACTTTCCTCCAGTCAGACGCACCTGGTCAGAGTTTTCCACAACCGCTTGGTCCTGAAACCACAGGGAGAAGGGAGCCCAAGGGACTGACTCACATCACTCTAGTGAGCAAAGGCAAGCCAAAGAGAGCAGAGTGTCTCGTACATAAAAAAAAGAGGCAAAACTACTGACTGAGGACGATCTGTTTAAGACACTGAACAAATGTTAGGCTGGTTGTATGGTTGGTGATAGTCTTGTTAAACATTTGTTGACCTGATTTTCCCGTCCTGCTGCAGTGCCGGCCTGTCCATCGAGGTAGGAAGTGCACAGTGTCATTCTGCTCTGTACTGAAAAACAGTGTTGTGACTCGGAGGATAAGAATAAGGAGGACGGGAAAGTAAATATTTGTTATTTAGCACATATGGTGGAATACCAAGACCATATCATCATAAACTATCCATTTCATGCTGATGATGTGCACAAATCACATCCTGTGAGCCCTGTTCACAAAATTACACAGATAATGTCATATTAGTCCTTTCAGAGCCTGTTGTTCTTACTTTTATATATACTTTAACACATTTCACATCCGGCGTAATTATTGTAAATTTAAACAAATGCCATAGAATGAATGTTTTTAGAAGCTGGTTCACTATTTTTTATGTATTCGTGCAGCCATTTTGTACCTACGCATTCCTTTTTTTCTCTCTTTCCAGTTTCATTTTATATCTTTCAACAAGCCATTTTATGTCTATGTATTTCATTATTGTATATGAGCTTAAGGAGCTAATAAACAAAAGGTTACATTTCATGCATGGTTTAATTTTGTTATTTTCTGAGGACTTTATATTGCGGCCTAATTCCACTGACTGTTCTCATTTTTGGTATTTTTAAAGGAGAACACCGTCACTAATCAAACCAAAATACCTCTGAGGAATCTCCCGTTAAAGGATGTCACTTGTTGGAGTCACATAACCTCGCATAAAACAATGACCAAATCATAAAAAATTACTTTAAAGGCAAAATGACCAACACCTGGATCAATGTGTATCAAATAAAGGTTAATTAACAAGTAATAAGTACTAAAAGTAACAGAAAACAACTGCGAAGTCAGGAGATGTGCTGAACCTTTAGGTAATTTGAGTTTCTATTGCAGTAACTGAAGCTGCCATGTCTCAAATGGATCTTTGTTATTATTAAACACTTTTTATATGACATCAAAACTCATAAAAGTGTTTAAAGACTGAAAAGAGAGTTGGTGTGAAACTGAAATTTTATGTAGGAAAAAAACAAAGCCATACATTCTGCTTTAGGCACTTCAGTCCACTGGTGACACCTTGTGGTCATATGCGGTATTTCTCTCTACTGCTTGTACAATAGTAAACCAGTCATGTACAAGTTACAGGGGCCAAAATAAGGACAGAACATGTTCAGTAAATATATTTCTAATATTTATTAGGTATGTAAAATTCACACCATTTGTCATCAACGACCCAAGTAAAAGAAATTAACTTGGATTAAAAAAAAAATTTAAATTGCAATGACAGGGAAAATAACTTTTAGTTTGTTAATGACAAATTCAAGACATTTTCTCCAGGGAGAAATTAATTGTATGAATTGCTCAAGAGTGACTTTGATCAATTCTTTTACTCAAACTCTTAAAACTTGATGCACTCTGATCTTCTGTTTTTTTCTCACAGATATTCAATTAGATGCAATTAATTAAAGTAGCAGCTTTACTTTCTTTCCCTGAAATCGATTAAGAGTTTCCTTGGCTGTTTGTTTGGGTCTAACATCTTGCCTTATCAAGAAAGTCTGGGTGCATTTGTCCATCCATCTGTCCACATGACATCGACCAGAACCATATGTGGGAAGAGCAGCTACATCCTGATGTTCCCACTTCCAAATTTCACTATTGGTATTTCGGGGGTGATGTGCAGAACCTGTTTTTCTCCATAGTGTGTGCAATGAAATCTCTAGAGTTCAGCTCTGATCTCGTCTCCCCTGATGCTACTGACTTGTCTAAATTTTCTGAAGCAAACTTTCAAAGGAAGCTTAAACATGGTTTTCCTTCAGCAGTGGAGTTTTATGTAGTGAGTGTGCGCACCGATAAATTTCAGCTGGTTTCTTGGCATTTCACAATTTTTTATTTTTTTTTCCCCACAAATCCTTTTTCTTCGGATGTGTAAGCACCATTTCCCTTCATTGCACATATTTTACTAGCTGATTTGTTTTCATTTCTTGGCTTTTCTAAGCTAAACCAAGGACAGCTGTGAATTTAATGTCAAGACTAATATTAGACATATATTGACTGAGCGACTAAGCCAATAAGGTCATGCTTGAATGAACTACAAGAAAATTGCCTAAGAAATTTTAAGGACTTTTTTGGGAGTGAGAAACAATAAAATACACTCATACAGGAAAAGATGTAAGCATGACGGACATGAAGTTCAAGACAAACAGGAAACAAAAACATGCAGAACCACAAACTTTAAAAGTGAAGTAACAGGCAGTCAGTTCACAAACAACACAAAGACTCACCGACAAAAATAAAAATACCAAAAGGAACTTGATACTCAACTAGGGTGTTTTTGGGGGTTTTTTTACATTCATAAAATGTCAAAATTTTGCATGAAAGACACATAATGCCGTAAAAAGTGAGTTTACAGCAGATTGGGGCCACATACAAAAGCACGAGGGTGGGAACAAAATGAAGCAACACGTCACCATAACAAGATGAGACAAAAAAACAACAACAAACAAACAAAAAAGAAAAGAAAAGGGCCATGTGATAAAAGGTGGAGGGAGGGCTGTAGAGGAGAGGGGAGAGGGCTACCTTCAGATTACAGTTATTTTGGCAGTCCTGAGAGGAGGGCAAGACGTGAAGAAAGGAAGAGAGAAACTCTTGCATTAAACATGAACACGTGACACAGGATGTACAGTATTCTGCAGGTCTCACCGTGGACACGGGGGGGGAGCAGGAAGCTAAGAGGGGGGAAAACGGAGAAACCACAGAGGGGGTTTATGAGGAGGAAAGAGAAGCTGGAGGACAGAGAAGTTCCCCACGACACGGAGAGTTCGATAAGCCAACTCATCAACACAAGCAGAGAAAGGTGCTTCTGCAGAATATTGACTTTGGGGGCGGGGAATACCAATACATTCAATACATTTAAGATTCTTGGTTTTTTTTTTCCTTTCTTTATGTGAAAATTGTGCAACAAAGCAGAGCAAAAATGTTAGTTCAAGTCAAATTACCCTAGTGAAATACACAAAAGTGTGTCTCAACATGAGGATATGTGTAAATATCCAATGTTTATATACACTTTTTGCAAATATCAGCGTGTAGCATGATCACTTCTGGCATGGATTAGATAAAAGTTAATGAACAAGTTGTCAAACTACTTCCTGCCTTATGAAATCTACTAACATGCAATCAGTAGAACAAACAAAATGAACACCTAAACTCTGACAATGAAACAATTCACAACAAAAACATCATTTAACAACATGCCACTTCAAAATCTATTACTACCATATAAAAGAGTCATAAAATGCTACTTGCTAAGGTAAGCATAGCTTAACTAAAAATATAAACTTGGTAGCAGAAGTTCCTTTGAAAACTGCTTAGAGATGTGATTTGAGAGAAATGTCAGCAGAGCCGCAGCTTTGGAAAGATTTACCAGTTAATTTGCAATATGACATTTTGACTAATTAAATCTGACTCAAACTTTTTGGTGGGTAATTTTACAATGTCAGTAGAAGAATCTGGGCCTTTCAAACAGAAAAGAGAGGAGTTATATATAGTAAAGACACGTGAAGTAAAGAAGAAACCTGGAAATAGTAGTTCTTCAACAGCTAATGAAAAATCTGCAAAAGGTTAGGCTTGCGTTGTTTCAGAAAATATTATCGCCAGCAACGATACGTCACTGAGTCTGCCAGACGCACTGCAAACTGGATGAACGAGGATTCAACTGGGATATTAGATGCTGTATTCTTGCACTGAAAAGAATCCAACTGAGCAAAATGACAAATTTATCATTATTTAACTTTCACAAACTCCTTTGCAGTCGCTAGCTGCGTTTCCATTGACCATAAAATTGCCCAAGTTGGAATTGCGAAAATAAATTTTTATTGCTCCAGGTTGAGGTAGTTTTTCGGCTGTAGCGAAAATTAGCGAATTTCGCGAAACTGCGATGGGAATGCTTTGTTTTTGCGACACACAAGTCACAACAGGAAGTTACTACTGGAGGAAAAAGGACAAAGGAGACGACAGGAAGTGGTGGGAAGATGATGGCGCCGTGTTTTTTAGTGACTTATCGCGTGAACAAACTTATTCACTTGTGATTTTAATTGCGTGTCTTATTGAATGGAAACACTGCGATCGCGAAAGTGTGTTTTTTTTCTCAACATTAGAGAATACTGACAGAGTTTTGGGCACATTAGTAATGGAAACGCAGCCAGTGTCTCTGAAACGTGATTTCCTCGCAGTCAAATATGATCTAATTCATGTGGCAGTTGGGTGTCTTCACTGAAGAAACGTACTAAAAGGTGGAAGTGCTGACACAAAATAAAAAGTTAATTTTTGCACCAAATATAACCGCTGTGGACACAAGAGTGTGAAAGAGACAATAAGCTGCGAAAGAACAACCAGAGCTGCAGCTGCTACATGGTGATTAAGCCAACAGCTGTGGCGCTCGGTGACAATCTGATAACCGTCCTGGACATGATTCTGAGCTCAGCTGGATCAACCATAGATGTGTGTGTGTGTGTGTGTGTGTGTGTGTGTGTGTGTGTGTGTGTGTGTGTGTGTGTGTGTGTGTGTGTGTGTGTGTGTCCTTTATTTAACCAGGGACACATTGAGATTAAAACCTCTTTTCCGAGAGAGACCTGGCTGAGAAAGCAGCATAAAACACACGACAAGACGAGATGCACAAACACATAGAGAACCGTTTCACATTTCATGAAAAATACTCTGCAGATATGACATAGCATTGGAGAGGTTGCTGATGTCTCTGCCCTTTAAAGCCGACTTGAATCGCCTCAAACTTAAATCGCTGGATATTAATCCGGGTGGCAGGAGAAGAAAGTTTATATGCCTTTTTATGCAGTCCAGTTCTAAGTCTTCCATCCAAGTTACAGTTACATTAACTTGAGTCAATGTTTGGAAGAAGAAAAAAAACTGTACTTTTATGAGTATTTTTTTACTTTCACTTGAGTCATTTGACTGTGTATCAGTACTATTATCTGAGCGAAGTTTGACCAGATACAAAATACTGCAGTATCTGCTTTATCAAATATTTCTATTTGGTCTTACTGGAGTCATTTCACTTTTACTTGAGTAAAAAAGAGCAACTCTTACTTGAGGACAACTTTTGAGTACTCTACTTCTCTGATTTAGTGTGACAAACACTTTTTGTTTCGAAAAAATAAACCCAATTCAAGTTTCAAGTGAGAAATCAATTTGTCAATATTTTGATGAAGCAGAACAAACTGTTTGGCTGCTCTACCAAACATTAAATATCTATTTTCAATGTTACATACAGATGTATATGCAGATCTGGAAAAAAGTTAAGAGAACACTTAAAATGACCAGTTCTCTGATTTAACTTTTATAGGTCTATGTTTAAGTACCATAAACTACGTGAACTATTGACAAGATGTCTCCGAAATTCCAAGCAAAAATTTAGCATTTATTTGCAGAAAATAAGAAATGATCAAAAGAACAAAAACGCTGCAAAGAAAACAAGTTCATGTTCATTTAGAAACAAAAATACCAAGGGTTTGACTCAGGAAGAGTTCAGAAACCAGTGCAGTGGTCTCTTCATTTTTTTCCAGAGCTGCACATATGCAAAGAATTCACATGTCAAAGGACAAAGACATGAGCAGGAAAAATATCAGCACGTTAAAATGACACAAAAATCTAACAGGAAAACGGAGGGGCGACTATTTTAAAGCGATCCTCACCTCAAATTTCTTCCTCAATTCGTCGTTCCCATCATCCTCCACTGAGATGGGGACGTTGTAGTACTCCCCCTCCTCCTGACACAGTAACTTGAACCTAAAGACGCACGCAGGAAGAAAAAGAGGACGGAAACACAAAGAAAAGAATTGAAATATAAAAAATAAAAAAAGTAAGCAGCTTAAATGTAGTCTTAAATTTAGTAAATAAGTACACAATAAAAGAGATAAATTGATCTTATATTTACATTCTACGTTTTGCCAATATATGACATAAAATCCCAATAAAATGTAACTAAGTTTGGGGTTGTAACACAAAACAGTAAGTTAAAGTTACATAGAACAATTAAACTGCTAAGTAGAGCAAAAGTCACTTTCTTCAAATATAATTACAATTTTTTTTATTGATAAATATGGGAGTATTTACATGGTGAGTAGGTTTTACGGCTAAAGGTTTCAAACTATTCAGTTTGCAGAAGTGATAATCAAGAATGCCAACATTACCAGCCACAGACAGGAGACTTCATGAGCTCTGACACGCCAAAGGAAAGGGATCCCATGAAGTCGTTTCTGGTGGTCCGATCCCAGTCCCACACTTCTACAGACAGCCTGCGGTCTTTGTCCGAAGGCTTCAGCTTGCTGAAAAGCACGTCATAATCGTTATAAAGTAAAAAAGAAAAGAAAAGAAATCAAGGGGAACCAAGGTTTCCCTCAGAAAACTCGCTAAGCCCGTTGGTTGGGGTGTTTGGGGCCCGTCGTGTTTTTGAGTTAAAAGATGTTTTAAAGTTGACAGGAAATTTGAAAATATCACTTGATTATTATGCGTTTTTGGAAGATCAATATCTGAACGTCAACTATAAAGTCATAAAACATGCAAACATTAAAAAAGAAACTTAAATAAATAAGCAAAGCTAAGCCTGTTGAGGGCACAAGTAAAGCCTGGTGGCCCACCAGGCTTGTAATACACTGAGGGAAACCCTGGGTACAAACTACAACTTCCTGCTAACTAATTCCTTCTGTACCCCATGGTTACTTTAGGCAATGACAAGTGAAATTTCCGACATTGTCTTGTAGCTTCATGAAGGACAGAACAGAGAGAAGACGGTAAATAAACGATGCTCACAAAACTATGGTCTCGTCCCATTTGGGGTTGAGGTTGGAGTATATTCTTTTGGTCTTCTGCTTGGTCTCGTTTTTAGGATCTGGTATGAGCTTGAGTTTGACGTACGGATCGGAGAGGCCGTTGGGATCCATGGGAATGAGGTTTTTGCCTTCAACAACTGAAAGAGACGAAGAACGAGGAGAAACGTTTAACCTGGCTGCTAAAACGAAGACGAGACAGGCATATAGTGGATACACAAATATCAAAATTTGCAACACCACTAATATTTTGTCAGACGTATTTTTTATTGTAACATCCACTGGATAAAAAAAGAGAGAAAAAATAAATTCATTAATACATTTTGACAGCATTCTGTGCAGTTTCGAAGTTGCACATTTATTCCATCCTAGAAAATAATCCTTCAAAGTCTAGAATGAACATAGCATTCATGTTAAGTGTATGTAAACTTCTGACCAGAAGGCTGTGATCTGAGCGAGTTCATCAAAAGCATGCTGATAAAAAGAAGGGCTCATTATATTTGCACTTCCTCCCTTATCCACACGGACGTCCTGTTTAATGTTTAGCTAGAAACCACAGGTCGGTCATGTCAGAGAAACAGAAAAAAATGGAATTTTAATCAACAGGTGAACATCTGCTAAATTAAATCGATAGATTCTGGATCAAACGACAAGCTGCAGCCTGTGAGGATTATTTCTGCTTGTGAGACATAAAGGGACCGAATGCAGAGAGGCATTATGGGAACAGTGAGTCAGACATGCAGGCTGTGTCATGCTTAAGTAGGCGAAGGCTCTCGTCTTGTCCTCCCATATGTAGCTATTAAGTAAACAAGGCCACACTGGGGACATTAGCGCTCCATTAGCGCTGAGATTTGGAGCACTGCCAGACATGCACTACACTACAGCACACACAGACATCTGCACGCATTTAGGTAAATGTGTACACACACACACGCACGCACACACGCGCTGTGTTTATCGACACACATTGGACTGAAATTCCCTGCAGAAACAACATGAATGCATGGCTGCTTGGTTGAACTGTGAGCCCCTGAGGCTTCATGTCCTGTTACTGAGACATAAAGGGACCAAATGGTACCACATTACATACTTGGTATTATGTTACATACTGAGTATTTTTGGTCTGGTTCCTGGTGCAAATACCTTAGCACACTTGAAATAAGACAAAACTAACTTATAAGCAACTGATTAAATAGATATAAGAGCTAAAATCCTGATCAGAGTTTTCCAGACAATAGTGGAACAGACAAAAATGCAAAAATTACTTTTTGTGTGTCTTTTAAGTTTTTTTTTTGTTTGTTTTTTTTTTAGGCAGGGACTGTTGTAACTATTAAGCAATCTCCTCTTCAGTTCAACCTTGTGAGTGGAGATACACAGTTGATGTTACCACAACAAAATGACTAGCAGTTTAGTAAATATTGGCAAAAGTCAATGTGATTTTCACAGGTGAAGGAGGGTTGTTGCTGAAAGTAACTACAAAAGTAACTGGTAATCTAACATAGTGACTTTCCAAATCAAGTAATCAGTAATCCAACGAAGTTACTTTTTCAAGGAGTAATCAGTAATCCGATCAAAGTTACTTTATCAATGTAACTATGACAACACTGGTTGAGAAAAAATGATACGAGACAGATAATATGCGAACTCTTCCATCTTTTCCAAGTGCTCCCAGTAACAACCAATCAGAGCCAGGAGGAGGGTCTTAGCGCTGTCAATCATGGCGGTGTGTGCGCCGTTCCCCCGATCTCTGCTACGCTCCAGCTTCTGGCCAAAGAGTGCTTTGGATGCTAGGGCTAGTTAGCATGGCCACAGATGACTGCAGACAAACTGTTTTTCTGTAACAGCATCCTGATCCTCCGCCATTAGCACATATAGCAAAGTGCACACGAACATGATTGACAGCGTTAAGACCCTCTGATTGGTTGCTTTTGATAGGGGATGTTGCATTTCCTCAGAAGGCAACAATAGCTCAGGGAGCAGGTAGAGGAGCTTAATCTTTTCACACACCGTCTGTCTCATATTACATTTAACAAAGATGTAAAAAAGAAAAACATTTGCTTTATAGGTTACATACTGGAGCATGAAGGAATTATCAACTTAACACATGCGCCTATATATTGCTGAAAGGTTGCTTGTTAGTTTTATCTTAGTGTAATATCAGCAGTGAACTAGACAGAAACTCTTGATAACAGTTTGTGGCTTTTTGCAGAGCTGGAAACATTTAAAATAGTTTGAATGCTATAAATTAATGTTGGAATTAAAACAGACAAACAAAAAGAAGCTAATCAGAAACATCAGTACCAATTCCATCTAATAGCTTCTAATATTATAAGTGTTTTTTTTTTTTTTTTTTTTTTGCTTTACTGCAATCCGTTCAGTTGTGTTAATAGAAAAAAAATGGAAAAAGAGAAGAAGAATATGAGTCCTTCTGTAGGATGCTTTTGTCCTCTGGACCTTGTGGTGGAGAATGCGAGAGCTGAACAAACACAGCAAGATGTGAAGTTAGAGGAGCATTAGAGAAAGCTGCAGCAGAGTGTGTTTGGATTACACGGCTGATGTAAGAGGTTTAGAGGAGCGGCTCGAGGTGTAGGAAGATATCGAGCGATGATTCCTCCGCACTTTCCAGAAAGCAGACGGCTGCCGGTTCAGAGAGGTTTCGCCGTGGCTGTGCGGTGACCTACCGTCATGCGGTACTTCAGAGAAAAACAAAAGAACCGGCCGATCTCTTGGAAACCAAAGGTTTTAGCTTCCGTCTCAGATAAATGCATTTTATTTCATTTGAACAGGTAAACCAAAAGTAGCTAAATTGAAAATGTAATCATAGGTAAAAGCCATCGAGTCGTTGCCTACTTTCTCAAATTAAGTCGAAACACACGGTTCAGACACGACAAAGAGCCTTTGGAGGTCGTGGCATATATGGATGATGACAACAATACTGAATATTATACTGAACAGAAGAATATGTCTTTGTTTTTTACTGAGTGCCTGAGCCATACGGGTTTTATAAACTAATATGTGTCACTTTAGACACAGATTAGACACAGATTACCAGCGAGTGAGTGGCGTGACAAACTGGTATCCTCAGGAAATCATTCGACATTTTGTATTCCAGTTGAAAACACAAGAGTAAAGCACAACCTGGTTGCATATGGAAAAGTGAAACTTTCAGCTGCTTCCGTTCACTGCTGCTGTTTTGGCTACATCCTCATCAGACGTTTCCCCTGACAGCATTTACTCTGCTCTACACGTAACATGTCTGGATGATTTCTTTTTTTTGTTTGTTTGTTTTGGCACATGTAAATTGATATCTTCAGAAGCTCTTAATCCGTACCCATTATAAGTCATTTTTGCATACTTTAGATTCCAGCTTCAAATATGCAAAAGTCCCCGCCCCCGTATGATATTTAGAAATAAAAAGGACTTTGTTCAGATGGCTGTTATGAGGAACTGACACAGAAAAATTAAACCAAGCATATTTTGACTATGGACACAGTTCAGATTTAAGGGCAAAAATAGAGTCTAAAGGACCGAAACAAAGCGCAGTGATCAATACAAAGGAAACCACATGAGGAATTGCATTTAAATTATTTTCAGTTGTGTGAAAGACAATGAAGTGATGCTGAAAAGGTTTTGATGGCTCTACAGACTGAATGTATAAATGATCTGCTATATTTTAACTGTCTTGCAACATCTGGGGTTTACTTGCTCACAGGAAACACAAGTGGTGGTTATTGTGTTTCCATTTGTCACCAGTAGGGGGAATCCCAGACTGCCTAATTCAGCTCAATGCATTGACTTTCTGGGGATAAATCAAAGTGTGTTTGTGTATCGATGTGAGCATTGAAGAAACGCTCTTTTCAACCCATCGTGCTTCACAGGGGAAGCTGAGCATTTGTGCCGTTTTCAGCCCCTCTCTCTCTCTTTCTCTCTCTCTCTCTCTTTCTCTCTCTGCGTAAGAAATCCAATCTGCTCTCTATGAGATCTCTGATTCCACTTGGGCGATTTTCTTCCACTGTTATTATTTAATCCTTTGTGGAGTTGTCGTTCCCATCGAAACGAACGAGGTGCTCAAGTTGACGCTCCAAAAATGTTGTCAAAAATGACAATACGCGTCAGCTGCTGTTCTGAGACACAAAGTGAAACGAAATGGACAGAAAGAAGGACCGGAAAGCACATGTGTTGAGGGCAGAGGGCGAATGCTGAGAGGAGGCAGGAAAACACAGTGGGAATACCAACAACACGACTTCTGGGAGTCTGGCAGAAGAATTCCCTCAGCAACAAAGTTCAGCTGTTCCTCTGAACTCCGTGGGGAAACTGAACAGGAGCATCACCTGTGTGTGTATTTATCTGTTAGTGTGACAGTCTGGCCTACTGTGTCCTACTGCGCTCCCCCGGATCATTTCTCAAATGACACATCTTCTTAAAGTTGAAACGTGTGAAAATAAATCTTTGGGGAAAGTTCTCGCATGCGCCAATAATAAAATGGTCCCTGTAGACCGACGTATTCTAATAAAAGGCTTTATTTACGCAGTGGACCTGCTTATGCCGCCTCGTAAAAGTCAGCATACGAGAGAATTCAAAAGTGGACACATCCGTGGAAAAATACCAGCTTTTTAAAGATCGTAATTAATCATTTCAAGCTACGATCAACATACAGAGTGATATGCATGATTTCTCTCAATCTGCTCTGAGAGAAATAAACAATTAGGCTTGTCATGATCAATTTTGTTGGATGTGAAATTGTCACAAGAATTATTGTAATAAAGGATAATATTGTTGTTTTGAGGCCATTTTCAAGTTATAAAATGTTAATCACATGATAATGCAAGTTTGCCCTCTCAAAGACTAATAAACTTAAATTTTTTAAAGAATATTTAACATTGGAAGAGGAAAATTAAAATATAAAATAAATAAATACAACATAAATAAATGCCACACACAACAACCAGAACCTTAAATGAAATGAATTATTTAGTCTTTGTAACACACAATTTAAAGCATATTAATCATCTGCATGGAAATCATCAAGCTCATTTTTATTCCATCATGGTACTAATCAATTAACTGATTTATTGTGGCGGGCTTTTAAACGAAGCTGAAATAACCGGGGCACATAAACCTGCAGGGCTTTGTACCACTA